AGATTTGGTTATATCACAAATCTGACATTAATTTTATCAATGCTAGCCTAGATGAAATTCACTGGGATCAAGTATTATTTGATGATGTCAGCCACTCCTGGTCCTCATTCAATACAATACATAGTTCATCAGTTTATTTCATCTAAGACAAAACAAAACTAGACATACCCTCCCTGTCTCCCTCGTCCCCTCCTGCAGAAAATAAAGCAGTGTTGTCTTTTCTCCCAAGCTTCATCCTCCAATTCTCTACAGTTGTGGTTACAGTATAGTCCCTACATAACAGTACTATCTCCTCTGATATCAGGTATAATAAGGCTTGTTATTTCAATTCAGTCTCTAAATCTCCAAAGTAATTTTGGTCCTTTGCAGGGGCGTAGGAATAGGGGAGGCAGGGGGGACAGCTGCCCCCCCCACTTTTATTGACATGGGGGCTATGCCCCCCCCCACTTTTACTTCACTGGCTTTTTTGAAAATTACACCATTTCAACTCACGTTCTAAAATGACAGAGAAATGACTCAACAACTGCATGTTATTACATGTTCACAAAGACTTAATAGATGAAACAATTCATAGCATTTCAGTGGCTAAAGAATTTATTTCTGTTAATCCTGACCGAATGTCATTTTTTGGACAATTTATTGATTAATGTCATTTAAATTTTACTGTGAGAAATTGCATGTATCATTGTCAACTGTGTGCGGTGTCTCCCCCCCCACTTTTCAATAGCTTCCTACACCTATGCTTTTTGTATGTTGTCTTAGAAAGAATAAAGACCCAATTCCTCCGTTAACTTCAGATGCTCAACACACTGCTACATCTAATACTGATTTACTTAATTTCACCTTTTCATGCAAGTTTTGCCACTCCAGCCATAACTTCTATTAACTCCATTTCCTCTCCTCATTTCCTTTCCTCTTATTTTCCTGCCCCTTCACTTCCTCCTCCCCCTAACTCACTCTATTCTCCTCCTTTTCCTAACTCTTTCTTTTGGTATTCCCACAAACTTTCTGTGTTCTTAATAAACAATGTTATATTTAATTTCAAAACTGCCACTAAATACTTCTAGTGGTCCTGATGATATTTCCTCTTCCCTATTAAAGCAACAGCAACTCACATCGTATCTCCCTTGCAGCATATACCGTCAATCCATCACTCTCTCAGAAACTCTTTCCAATGGACTGGAAGAGATCTCTCGTGGTTCCATTCCCAAGACCAGGCTTCCTTCATCATGACCATCGGGTCCTATCTCTGTCGTCTTTCTAGTTTCAAAGCTTCTCAATAAGCATGTGCATCTCACTCTCCTTGACTGAATACTCTCAAAAGGATTAATTTCAGATTCACAATTTAGTTTCCTTCTGGAATGTTCTTCAACTACTGCATTAGCCACTGTAACTCGATTTATTTTACCCTCATTGGACTGCTCTGTGCCTGTATGTGGCTTGTTTTTAGATTTCACTTTTCCCCCTACCTCAGTAATAGGCAACAGAGTGTTTGTCTTGGTGGCTCCCTCTCCTTCCCTGTACATGTCACCTCTGGCTTTCCCCAGGATTCAATACTTGGACCTCTTCTTTTTTTACTGTATATTATAATTTCAGTGATCTAAACGTCTCTTCTCAATCCAAAATGTTTCTTTTTGCAAAAAACATCCTACTACTCTACCCTCTTTCAAGCTCAAGTGACTGGTCCCCTCTTCAATCTGAAATAGACTCCACTTGCTCTATGATGCTGTCTAACTCTCACTCTCTACATAATAGTAAGTCTAAATCTATGATATTTTCACTTTATCATCACTCAAATTTTGACATTCTGCTTAGCTCCCTTCTTTCTTAAATCAATACCAATTAATCGATTATCCTTCTATAATTACCTTGGTTTAATATTCACAAGCAATTTGTCCTGGAAAGACCCAATATCACCTATAATCAAGAAAGCACTGGGCCTCATTAATTGTAACTTTTACAAACATTCATCTCCTGAGACACTTCTCCACCTTTATGTTACTCTTGTTCGTCCTATTCTTGAGTATCCCTCCCCAAATTTGGGACCCTTCTTCTCCTTCAGTGTCATCTTCGCTAGAGGAAGTTTAAAATTTTGGCCTAATACTAGCTCTTAAGTAATGGACAGTCCCATATCAACAACTACTTTTACAGTCTCATATTCAATCCTTATCACATTGCCGGTTAAAATTTAAAATGAGTCTTCTATTTAAAGAAGATCTCTATTTCACTCCAATTTTTGTACTTACCAAAATTCATTGTATCTCTCTGCAATTAACCAATGGAATTATCTTCCCTCCTCTCTGAAACTCACTCTCATATCTTAAATTCAAAATAGACCATCACTTATTATTATGACCACGTCATTATTGTTATTACTTATTTACTAGCTTATAGTTAGCTAATAGCTATGCTATTACTTATTATTTTAAAAATCATTAGTTAATCACTTTATTCACTGTTTTTTTTTTCATTTTTTTTTGTTGCTTGAAATGCTGATTTAAAGATCGGACTCATTAGACTTTGAACTGGCTTGTAAACTCTTTTTTGCTTCAGTTATTTGTTGAGTAGACCTTCCTGCTAATAATATGTCATCCACATACACAGCAATTATAGATGGCTGTGTAGTGACAGAAATATATGGACATGGATCACTGTTTGACTGTGCAACCTGAGCAACTGTGCAGTTGTAACCTGACATGAACTGGTAAAATTATTAAAACAGCAAATTAGCTCTCAACAGCAAAGAAAGTAATAGTGCAAAGAGCAAGCGAGAGAGAGAGAGACCTGAATAAAAGATGTGAAAAGAACAAAAAAATAACATTCTATGTGCACAGTAAAAACATTTGCGAATTCTGCATTTCTAAAATTTTGTAGAATAAATTTTTATAAATAGCTTGCAAACTGTACCACTTGGCAATAGAGATGCAGAATTTTGTGATTTTAATTTTTGTGACTGCCGCAAAAATGAACCAGTATACAGTATCTTTATAAGATGTTTCAGGTTCAACCCTATTTTTTCTCCAGACTACATGCCATTAGTCTGGCCCCGCCTCTTCGTTGCGTGG